CGCCTCATTGCGTTGTTTATTAAATGAAATGCAATTTCTGTGTTATTGTACAGAAAGGACTAAATTATCCATGTGCCACTCTCATTTCAGATTTGAGTTTGAGAAGAAAAATCAGTTTAACAAAGTCTGTAGCATCACATATTTGCACTCATGACTTCATCGATATTACTTCCATCGATGATCAGCCTGCATACGGGATGTGTAAAGGGATCGTTAATGCGTATAATAAAACTCCTGTTTTGGTTTCGTAGGTACATCAACCGGTTCTCGGCCCATTTCTTGTCTAGACAACACGCAAATTACTTTTCGTAGGTTAGCCACCGCTGATGCTAATTGATGTGCTGCTGATCTGTTATCATCAGCTCTTTCCATTCCAGTGAAGCCAACAAAAGATGAAGAAAATGAGGAGAGGGGGAGGAAAATGTTCTTCTAGTTAAACAGCAGCAGGATTGTAAATTTAAAAAACTGCGAACTTTGTACGAATTTGTGGGTAGTTTTTCAACAATATGTGAGTACTCTCTAAAAAAGAGTGATTCAATACGAAACCTAAAAGGGTATAGAGAATTGCAACCATTTCTATACCCTTTTGAGTTTGATACGAACCGGGGTTCTGGCGTTCAGCTACGAAACCTCTATTTTTGTATTAACAAAAAGGGTTTCGTATACCGGGTTTCGTAACCCTATCAAAAGAGGTTTCGTACAAACCTGATGATCATATTTCGGCGACCTCTTCATTTATTCAACAAGGTCTTTTGTAATTATAAATCTTAGCTAGCCGTTTTTATGTATTCTTGTAAAGCTCTACCTTGAGGACTGTATATCGGTAGTAACTGCAAGTACATTACGGACAGATTTCTCCATTTGATCTCTACAGCCCATGCAGAAAAATTCAGTATGTAATTAAAATCATTTATGAGTACGTGTATTTTCTTGCACGTGGTACCAGAGTTGGACAAGTCAGGTCAGACTTGACTTAGGAAAAGGCTTTTTGGACCTTCTGACTAGCTTCTAATTTTGGGTGTTTCTTAAGTCATTTTAAAAGTGCATTTTTCCGAATATTTAATGCAAAGAAACGATATTAAAGATCTAAATAGAGCCATTTTCCATACCGAGCTGGGCAAGCCAAGTAAAAAATGCCCAAATTCAAAGTCAAATCAAAGTCAACAGGTTTTCTTAACTCAAGTCAGACTTGACTTGAGAAAAATTTTTGGGTCCTCTGACTTGACTGACTCACCGGGGGGTGTCTTAAGTCATCAAATTAAATCTACACTTACGTTGACGAACTTAAAGTGTTGCACAACATCAAACTTAAGTTTGACTTAAAGTTAAATGCACAGCTTAGTCGCACGGTCTTAAGTTAAGTCCATGCACTTAACTGGTGCATAGATGTATTGCAATGTAGAGTACTTTTTCCAAAAAGAATAGAGTTCGTGATAGTTCGGGTATGGTATGAGCGTATGAAAAATTTGGGGAAAAGCGCGAAAAAAGATTAAAAAAACAAACAAATAGTAAACGGCGTATCCAAACTTTTATATAACATTCTCACATTCTTTTAAATGGTTCTGATTCACCGAAATGTCTGCAAACAGAGGTGCGAACTGGCGGGCTGAAGAAATAAGAATATCGATTGAATCCATTCGTCAAATGGAAAAGACTCTTTTTTCAAAGTTTAGCAATAAAAATAAAACTGACCTTTAAGAGCTATGCAACGGAGTATTAAAGGATATATTATCTTATCTGTTTAAGATCTTTCTGATGCAAAACTACTGTACTGTTAAAATCTTTCGCCGATTATATATACGAAGTAACCAGATTCAATCAGTCGCTAATCGCGCTTTTATAACTTACAGTTATAAATCAACTGAGAATATTCTTGCTTATTAGGCAAAAGAGCTTTTTTTGGTGTATATTTTTCTAAAAGCTACCTATAAGACTACTGGATGACAAACGAGTCGTCCTAGAGACGCACGTCTAATTGAATTTGAAGTTTTACATGAAATAAATTTGTAAGTCTTTTAACCGCGAGCATAGCCTGCAGTAAAAGTTGCCGAACGTGCTGTGGGAAAACAATGGTAAAATCATTGAAACAAAGTTTCATATGGACCTCTTTTTTTACTCAAATATTAAAATACTTACTAACGATGTGAATCGACGCGATTCACGTTATTTATTTTCTTTGTATCAAAAATTAGTTTTGCGTCCTTAATTGCTTTCTCTTGCATGTGTGCTTTGGTAAGGAAATGTCTGGCCTGCTTATATAACTGCTGATAACTGATAATTTCTTCTCAAGTACTCTTCCATATCCTGTTCTTGGAAAGTTTGGTTCTTGTCCTTTGGCACTTAGCGCTGTTCCGTGACAGCCACCAGGTTTGCTTCCGGTGCAAATGCAGAAAGGATAGCAGAATATTATTACAGGTTAGCCTGAGCTGCGCACACCCACAATAAGAAGACACCCCTAGTACAGACAAGAAAGAAACATTTTACGTACCAGGCATAATTCCGTTGACTGTAAGTCTATGGTCATACGAAAAACCAAAAGTGTTTGTCCGTACACGGGTGTGACGGACGTACATACATATAGTCATGTGGCAGTGTGACGGCCGTACATACGTGCGAATTTTTTGTGGAATCAGAGACGTGTGTTTACACCTATCCTGCTGCGAGTGCAGACCGTGGGGACGCGGGAGCATTGTTTCTAATTCAAAAATAGTTTTGTTTCATTGACTGTAAGTCTATGGTCATATGAAATAAAGTGTTTGTCTGTGTGTTTGTGTGTATGTGTGTCCGTACAGAGGTTGCCGGACGCAAGCACACACGGTGACAGACGTACATTCTCCTAGTAACTAATGAGTGTGACGGATGTATAAAGTATTGTAGGTAGTGCCGTAGCGAACACCGACCGAAGGGAGGAGTGATCCTTGTCTGTGTTTCTAAGCCATCGAAGATCGTTCAGTATTTCTGTGACGGACACGCATACGCACAGACATTGTATCCAGTTCAATTCTTTAGTAATTCTGTATTTACAGGATCGAGTTACGATGGAATGAGTATTCCATACACTACATGCATTTGACTTACATTCAATGGACTTATAGTGAATCGACGCGATTCACGTTATTTATTTTATTTATATCAAAAATTAGTTTTGCGTCCTTAATTGCTTTCTCTTGCATGTGTGCTTTGGTAAGGAAATGTCTGGCCTGTTTATATAACTGCCTTATTAGATTCAGGTGATTGCGTAAATGTTTATAACTCATTTTGTTTCGTACGATGGGGATCGCCCATATCGCATACAGGAGTAGAACAAACCATTCTTTTCGTTGAGTAAACGGTACTGGTATAAATCTTATTATGAGCATATGTTCATTCGTTCTTTTCACTTTTGAATCTTTTCTTGACACAACATCTGTTTTAACACAAAATATTTCACTTAAAATATCCTTTATTTTTGCTGCAACTCATTCACGTGTTCAGTTTATTGTTAAGAGTTAATACAAGTACAAAAAAATAAAAATATGTATTTAAATAATGTTTATGAAATCGAACACTTACGTTTAGCATCAATTTCCGTTGCCGCTGCACTTGTATGATTCTTATTATTCGTTTGTTTTTCCTCATATTCACACAGTTTTTCTTTCAAATTTTTAATATCGGTTTCAGCTTTACTTCTAAAATTATCATATTCTATTTGTTTATTATTAATTTGTGCTGATATTCCTGAATTTGTTGTTGAAATTCTTTTATCTTTTCTTTAAATTCCATTTTTAATTGCTTTATATCTTATAAATGTATTTCGATATCACTGTATTTTGTGTGTGCGGTGGGCTCACCTCTAACGACATATAATGCAAGTTCAGAACGAAAACTGTCTTTTTCAGCGGGATTATTAATATCAATATGATTAAGAAAACATACGTCGACGTCACTTATTTTTAAATATTTTTGTGATGCTAAAGTTGTTTTACCTTCATATTGTTTATCACGTGTCAGTGACAAATTGTTTACCACAAAAACTAATGGTTTGACATAAAATTTATAGGCTTCATTTACGGTTCGAAATGTAATAAGATCTTCTTCTAAAAGTCATCCACCACTAAAAACGAATAGAACAATCGATGATGGACATAATTGAAACGCTTTTTGTATTTCAATTCCATTTGAATCAATTCGTTTTTGGTCAGGTTCAATTAAACCTGGTATATCGAACACTTTGTACGTTATTAAACCGAATGTGACATCATAAAAAGCTGTATTATGGGTAACAGCCTCTGATTGATATGCATGTGCAAATACCTCTTTTCCAATTAGGATGTTGCATATAAATGATTTGCCATGAGCCTGTACAAATATTACTTGATCATTGTCCTTATCTGGAACACCAATGCTTACTAGGGATGTACCCATACCAGTTAATTGAAACGGGAAAAGCTAAAACTGACAAAAGCTGATTTGACTTTCGCCAGTTTTCGCTTTTTCGTTTTTCAGTTTTCGCCAGTTTTCGCCTTTCCACATTGATTGTGCCAGGCACTCAAACAGAAAATGAATTTTTCCATTGTTGAATTTTCTATTCAGAAAAAATATATTGAAACGTCACTTATTGTGCAGTGTTTTCTCAACAAACAGTTCGCGACAGAAAAAATCCTGGAAATTGCATCGCATTTTCTTCACGGTTTCTCCATGCTAGTTTTCATTCTTTTTTTCTACCGATACCATTCACACTTTTATCAGCTCAGGATTTGTTTTCTGTGTGATCGTTTATTCATCTGAATGATGAATTCATCTGATCCTAGAGTAAACTGGGGCAATTGGAAACGATTTTTGGCTCTTTGAACTTCTAATTCGTATAATTTTGTTATTTTTAATTGTTTTTTTGCGATTCTTTTACAGGTAGGTAGAGGAAGAAGTTCTTTATAAGTCCATCCAAAAATTTTCAAAAAACTCCGTGTCCCCGAGCGAACTTCTCGGTGTTTTGCTGAAAGCTTTAACGAACATTTCCAATTACGAACATTTCCACTTGGGGCAATTGGAAACAGCAATAGAAATTGATGGGATAAGTGGATACGCCATGTATTTTACACAGGAAATAATTCATTAGTAAAAAACAGTTTTCTTGTTAAGCTAATCATACCAATTAATGATTTTTGCACAGGTAAATAGACCAATTATTGCTCTACAGATGGTGAGAATCTCCCAGCTCTGCTCATTAATTAGCCTCAGCTCTAATTAAAAAGGCAAACGCTGAGAAATTTTCAAATGTTTCCGATTAGCCCATTTGGGGTAATTGGAACCGTACGTGAAACTTAGTGGGGTAAATGGAAACGATCATGCAAAATAGCTGGAAAGCTAGGAACCTCTTGGAAATCAGTTTCTAATCGAAGTACATCTCTCACAAAAATATTTGCGCTTATAAAAAGATGCAGAATATTCTTCTCTACAATCGCAGAGAAACTCTCACTCGTTTTCATTCAGAAATAACGAAATAGGCGTGTTACACGAGAAAGTTGGTCTAGGCTACCTCGATAATCACAGGACCAAACTTCATGAAAATAGGCGCTTAAGGGTTTCTCAACGTCCTCTTTCTTTTCTTCTCTAGAAAGTTTTTTCTAAAACTCTCGAAAGTAGGTTTTTCTGGAAAACCATGGTTTTTTAGGTTACTTGTACTTCTTAAAACGAATTTTAAAAACCACTCTGAAGCCATGAAACATTTTCAATGACATATTTGGATTCAGCGTCTAGAGGAGAGCATTATGAGACAAAAAATCAAGTCTTCAACTCAAAATTTCAATTGTTGAGTTTAATTTGAAATTTAAAAAAATTCACCTTTTTTTAAAATTAAAATAACTCAGCTCAAGTAAGCGATGAAAGCTTGATTCAAACGTGATTGGATAGAGAATGAAAAACTAAACAAACTTAGGGGTTTGGCGAAATTCCAATATCGCGTCATCATGGTTCTTTAGGGGATCCCCAGAAAACCTGTTTCTAATCTCACTTTGTTTTCTCTGTTCTTTTTTAAAGTTAAACTTTAATATTGAACTTTTTTGAACTAATAAAGGTCAAAAACAATACATGGCGTATCCAATTACCGCATCAATTTCTACTGCTGTTTCCAATTGCCCAAAGTGGGGGGAAATGTTCGTTAAAGCTTTCAGCAGAACACAGGGAACTTCGCTTGGGACATGGAGTTTTTTGAAAATTTTTAGATGGGCTTATAGAGAACTTCTTCCTCTATCTACCTGTAAAAGAATCGCAAAAAAACAATTAAAAATAACAAAGTTATACGAACTAGAAGCTCAAAGAGCCAAAAATCGTTTCCAATTGCCCGAGTTTACTCTAGGATCAGATGAATATTCCATCTTAGTACTTCTGAAAACCTCGGACAAGAAAGGGATCACGTGTATGTATGGATTACAGTGTGCTTCTTTCTGATTATACGAAATATTAATGACATGTCATTGATATTTCGTTAGCCTACTTTTTGCTTGAAGAAAAGTTCTTTTAAAAAGAAACTAGTGATTTTTTTTCCTTGTGAAAATTTTTGCACCACTCCGAGTTTTTCTTTACCAGATAACTTAATACAATTTCTTACAACGTGAGTGGACGAGTATGACAAACTGAGTATGGTCAACGTATTTTTAGTCTCACAATCGTAAAGCTTGGATGGCTTCAAAATTTGCATTTCCGCAGATATTCTGCAGATTTTGAACTGCTCACAAACCCGTGAAACCGAAGTGTAAAACCTTTTTCTTCTTTCTGGTCTCAACAAAGGTAGAGTTAGATCTACTGTATGAAACGTTTCGCAGCTCTGTATCACACAGAATAAACACTCTACATACGGGTACAAAACACTGATTGCTTAACTTTGCATTTTCTGATGGGAAAATCAAAAAAAGTTTCGTTCACCATCCAAGCTCGACGCACAGTGGACGGACATCCAGGCGGACATTTTTCATATCGAAAGTGCGGTTTTCTAAAATTAAAATAGTGGCAAATATACTTTGATAGATGGGCTATCTAATGGAGTAAAAAGTTTTGTTTCGAACGAGGAATTTGGGGGTAATAAGCGTTGAAGAATAAAATACCTCGTATATCCGTGACCTCTATGTAAAATCAATTTTTTATTGAACTGAATTACATTTAAATTTTTAAAACGTGTCATCCAGACTCAGGACGCTTCTAGCTATCTATTCGTGAATAAAAGTTCGTCTCAGGTCAAGTCTTTTAGTGAAAAAGAGTTCTTCCTAAACGAGGCGATTTTTCCGAGAGCTATGTTCAGTGTAATGAGTTTCCGAAATTTTCCCAAGCTCTAAATTCGTTGAAAATTTTGCGGAATGTGCATTGACACAGCTTGAATCTGTGGTGATAGCGGTTTTATCCAGTTTTTCGCCTAGACTGAGACTTAGGTTTTCCAGGTATTTTACAATTTTCGTCAGAAAAATCTTTTTTTCGAATTTGGGTTTTTTTACTTCTATTAAGGGGGTCCCCCCAAACATACCCTCAAATTTTGTCAGTTTGTAGAGGACACCTCCAAGGACCTGGGGTTGCAATAACTCGCGGGTTGGATAACCTTTAGCGGAGTTATGAAACTTTCAGAATTACCAAAAGTCGATTTTCTCAGCTATTTTGCACCTAGTGCAAAAAGTATCTCTTGCGCAATACGCCTCTTCAATGACACATTCCAAAAGCATTCTGTTCATGGAAAGTTGTTCATTATACTTGCCTCTATGGGTTAAGATATTGTGGTTTTAGATTGATGTCATTATTCTGAATTTATAGGCCCAACAAGAGGCCTGAACCTGAAACTCACCATACTCAGAAAACTATCCTTTTCAGTAAAGCTTTATTTTTTCAAAAACAAACATTCCCATAAGATTCCGTGTGGCCGATAACCTATGTTTCCATGCGTTTTCAGTTTCTAAATATCAAGAAAATCAGGTTCTGAGGTGTCTCAGGAAAAGTTCGCTCCTGCCCGAACGATCGCAGATGGAGCTGTCGGATTTTGCCATATATGTAGATTAGATGTCGCTCTATGTTAGGCGTATTTCAAACATTAGACTTGTATGAAAAGTTAGGATGTGACAATCTTATCTTTGGAACATCGATCAGGTACACCGTGGTAGACCTCATTGATAGAATCGATTTATACATAGAAAGATGCTGTCAGGTCCTGGCTACAAGTCACCGGAAACCGCAGGTCTTCATCTTGTCCCGTTAAAAATTTATTACAAAAATGACCGCGGCCACTGTTCAATTGGATAGATAATATATATATATAATATATATTACATCATACATATATATATATATAACATCCCTTAACCCTTTGTATCTCTCGGTCAGTACATTCTTGACATGCATTCACTTCTATATACAAACTTTCATTGAAAAATAACCATATATAAGTTTATAACTATAGCTTTACTGAAAAGGATAGTTTTCTGAGTATGGTGAGTTTCAGGTTCAGGCCTCTTGTTGGGCCTATAAATTCAGAATAAT